ATTAAGAGGACAAAGAAAACTTAGAGACCAATAACTAGCAGTAAGCTAGAAGCAATAATAAAAAGCCTTCCAACAAAGAAAGGCCCCAAACCAAATGGATTCTTAGCTGAATTCTACATACTTTTAAAGAATAACTTGATACCAATGTTCCTCAAGTTAATCCATGAAACAGGATGAATTTAAGGAACCAGTATCACCCTCATACCAAACCGGATGACATATCAAAGAAAGAAAAGTACAAACCATAACCCTGATGAACTTACATGCAAAAGTCCTTAATAAAATATTAGCAAATCATATTCAGAAATATTACTATTATATTATACATCATAACCAAATTAGTTTTATTCCAGGGTTGCAAGGATGGTTTAACATAGGCAAATTGTAATTCACCACATAAATAGAATTACAGATAAAAATCATACGGTCATCTCAATAGATGCAGATAAAACCTTCAACAAAATTCAGCACACATTTTTTGATAAAGTAACTGAAGAAATTAGGGATAGAAGGAACTTTCCTTAGCATCATGAAGGCTTGCATATGACAAACTCAAAACCAACATCATGGGAAAAACTAAAAGCATTTCTTTAAAAAAAATTTCTTTAAAAACTAGACAAGGATGTCCATTCTCCCCGACTCTTATTTAATATAGTAGTAGAAATTCTAGCCAGAGCAATTAGGCAAAAGGAGGAGATAAAAGAGACATGTCCTATGGGTAAAAGAGATTAAAAGTAGGAAAGGAAGAAGTCAAATTACACTGTTTGCAGATGATATGATCCTATAATTAGGTGATCCAAAAACTTCCACCAGAAGACTACTAGTTAATAAACAAATTCAGCAAAGTAGCAAATTATAAAAATCAATTTACAAAAATCAATAGCTTTCTTGAATATACCAATAATGAATCTGTTGAGAAAGCAGGGATGGAATAGGGACAGTGGAATGAATCTGAACAACTTTCCTATGTACATATATGAATATACCACAGTGAATCTCACCATCATGTACATCCACAAGACTATAAAAAGCTATAAGCAGTGGAAAGAATAGTAGAGTAGGGGGAAGGGAAAAGGAAGAGGGAGGAAGGAAGAGAAAGGGTAAGTACTAGGGACTGAATTAGAACAAATTTTATTCCATACTTTTATAATTATGTCAAAATGAATTCTAATGTTATATGTGACCAAAGAACCAATTTTCAAAAACCAAAACAAAACAGGAAAACAATCCCACTCAGAATAGCCTCAAAAAAGTGAAATACTTGGGAATAAATCTAACCAAGATGGTGCAAGACCTCTACAATGAAAACTTTAGAATACAGAAAGAAAGAAGACCTCAGAATTCTTTGGATTAGACAGAGGGGAGTGAAAGGAGGGAAGGGGGCATGGGAGTAGAAATAGTAGAATCAATTGGACATTATTACCCTATGTACATATATGATTACAGTACCTATATAACTCTACATCATGTACAGCCAGAAAAATGAGAAGTTATACTCCATTTATATATGATGTGTCAAAATGCATTCTACTGTCATGTATAACTAAAAAGAACAAATAAAAAAAAAATTTTTAAAAGACTTTAGAAAATGGAAAGACAGCCTATATTCATACATAGGCAGAATTAATATAGTTAAAATGGTCATATTGCCAAAAGCAATTCAGTGTAATATCCCCATCAAAATACCAATGATATTTTTCAGAGAACTAGAAAAAGCAGTCTTAAAATTCATATGGAAAAATAAATAAAAGATCAAGAATAACCAAAGCAATTCTAAGCCAACAAAACAATGCTGGAAGCATCACCATACCTGACTTCAAATTATACTACAGAGTTACAGTAATAAAAACCGCATAGTACTGGCAGGAAATTAGACACATAAACCAAAGGAACAGAATAGAGGGCACAGAGACAATCCCACACATGTACAATCATCTGATCCTAAATAGAATGTGCCAAAAATATACATTGTAGAAAAGACAAATTGTGCTGGGGAAACTGGCTATCTGTGTGTAGAAGAATGAGAATAGATTTTCATCTCTTGCCCTGCACAGAAGTTAACTGAAAATAGTTAAGTGACGTAATTAGACCAGAAACCGCAACTCTTTGAAGAAAATTTAGGGTTAACGCTCCAACATATAGGTGTAAGCAGTAATTTTCTCAGTAGGACTCCTCAGGAAAGCTTGGGAAATAATGCCAAGAATTAATAAGTGGGATGGCATCAAATTAAAAACCTTCTGTACATCAAAGGAAACAATTAAGACTGGAGAGTGGGCTGGGGTTGTGACTCGGCGGTAGAGCACTCGCCTAGCACATGCGGGGCCCTGGGTTAATTCTCAGCACCATGTAACAATAAATAAATAAAATAAAGGTATTGTGTTCAACTACAACTAAAAAATAAATATTAAAAAAAAGAATGTGGAGAGAGAACCTATAGAAGGGGAGAAAGTCTTTGCCATCTACTTTTCTGACAGAGGATTAATGTTCAGAATATATAAAGAACTCAAAAATCTCAACACAAAAAAAAAAACTCAATAAATGACCAAATGAATTAAACAGACATTTCTCAAAAGAAATACAGATGGCCACAAATATGAAAAAATGTTCAACATCATCAGCAGTTAGGGAAATGCAAATCAAAACTAAACTGAGATTTCATCTCTAGTTAGAATGGCAACCATTAAGAATACGGGACTGGGATTATGGCTCAGTGACAGAGGGCTTGCCTCGCAAGTATGAGACACTGGGTTTGGTTCTCAGCACCACATGAAAATGAATAAAATAAAGGTATTGTGTCCATCTGCAACTAAAAAAGTTTTTTTTTTAAAAAAAGAATACAAACAATAACAATTGCTAGAGATAATGTGGAGAAAAATAAATACTTTTACACTGTTGGTGAGATTGTAAATTAGTACAGTCATTATGGAAATTGGTATGGAGGTTCCTCAACCACCACATGAACCAGCTATACCACTCTAAATTATGAGATTTGCATGTCTTATATGTGGGAGCTAGAGAGGGAAAAGGAAAAGAAAAGTGTGTGTGTGTGTGTGTGTGGCGGGGGTGTCTCATGAAAATCAAAGGGAGATTAGTAGAAAGACACCAGCGGGGAGAGAGGAGGGAAGAGAAATGATATTTGCCAAATTATAATGTAGTATCATGTGCATGTACAAATTTGTAACAAATATCACCTTTATGTATGATTATAATGCACTAATAGAAAATATAGGGGGGAAAGAGAGAAGAGTGTTGTAAGTAACTTGAACAGTGTGTTAGGGACCAGCATGACTCAAAAGGTCTCAGAATAAAACATCCAGGGGTCAAGTGTCACCCTTTCCTGAATACGTATAGTTTTTCTGAAGTTAGGCATTCTCCATGCTTTTGAATTTTGGATATTTGTCATCAATCTTCATAGTTATTAAAGATTCTACATGACCAAGAATGACAAACAAGTAGTATGTTATCTGAAAGTCATAACTGTAAGGATCTTCTGAACCAGTTTTAGGCCTTATTTTTTTTCTAAAGCCCTTCATTCTAAAATGAATGCTTACAACATACTGTCTTATAGATAAGTTGTGTGGAATATTGTGTTTGGAAAGGATTTGTTCTTTTATTCCTTTTAGTTGGAAACAACAGAGCAGAACATTGTGTAATTTTTTAAATTCTAGTACAAAAATTTTTGCTCCAAAGAAAAGAGGACTAGAAAGTTATATAAATATAACTAATTTGCAATGGGAAAAATATGTTGGGTGCTTCAATTGAAGGCATTGATGAGTATTTTGCTGTTTTGTTAGCTATTTAAGTATTAGATTTCCAAGTCATCATCTTTTTTTTCCCTTGTGAAAAAGATTCTGCAGTTGTCTAGAATTTTGTTTCAAAATATTATTAACTTAAATTGCCCTCAACAAGGCATAATTCATGGTAGCGGTATCAAAATTTGGATTTTTAATTCAATTGAGATAGATGTTAGCCAGGTAACAGTGTGCATGAGCCCCATTTTGATGATCCTGTAGTTTGCATCCTAGAGAATTCATAGTGCTTACACCTCAGTGCTAAGATTGGTGTTAGTGTTCTGCAAAGTGCCCATACTGATTGAAAAACAATAGTAGCCTTTTTAAACATTTCCTCATTTGCAGAGGTAGGGGTAAATAATGACCCTTTTCCCACTGCTCATTCTGTGTTCCTTTTGCCTTCACATACACCTCAGTTCCCCTGGTCTTTCTGACCCAGCCCTTCATTCCTGAAGAGTCTTGTCCATTAATAGTCCTGCTTGGCCTGGATTGTTTTAGTTTGCCACTGAGTTTAATCACAATATGCTGTAACTCCAAGGGATCTAAGGGCTCCTAAGGGATCTTCTACACACCAAACATAGTCTTCCTTCCCTCTATTATGTAGTAGTAGTCCGTGAGGTTTATATGTACATTAAAGGAGCCATAATAAGTACAAGAAAGTGTGGAATTATTGCTTGATATTTGCAAGTGCTTCATCAGTGTTCTTTTTTGCCTCCTATGATCTCTCTGCTAGTACTCAGCAAAAGTTCCTTTCTTAAAGCAAATATATTATAATAAGGAACTGCTAAGGAGAATGGGGGAGCTTTTAAAATATATTTCCATACTTTTAAAGTGGTAATTTTTGCTAAAGTAGGATTTCCCTTTTTAAGCAACTTTTAGATCTTGCTCAGTGGCCAGTGTTCCCACAACTGACCTCAAAGAACCTTATGATTGATGGAATGGCATTGAGCACTGGGTAGAGGAGGCCTAACCCCAGGGCTAAGACTTTCAAAAGGCATACACAGGCTCTTTTAAAGATTACTCTGAAATGTGTTGCAATGCTTGCAAGTCCTTTTATGCACTAGGGATAGAACTGAAGTGCTGGAGGAATGTTCCAAAATATTTTGTTATACTTGGAAACATATATTCAGTTTTCAGATTTCTGGTTATTTTGTTATTAGATAAGCAGTATGAAAAAATGATACTTTTTTCCAATTTTCTCCATTCAAGGGTCGAGTGGTAGAAAATATCTCAAAGAGATGTGGTGGATTCCTGAGAAAGCTCAGCTTGCGAGGCTGCATTGGTGTTGGGGATTCCTCTTTGAAGTAAGTCAAATCCATCCATTCTGTCATGGCAGCTTGTAGCTGACATTTTTGTTAGCAAAAATAAACTAAGTATATTATATACTTTTCTTCTAAGTTCTTTCAGTGGTAATTTGTAGAGTATTGAGAGAACCATAACTCTGGAATAGCAGGTAAGCTCCACTATTGTTAAGGATGTGACCTGTGGGATAAAGTTCACCTGTTTGTCAGTTCTCTATTCTGCATAGTGAGGTAGTTACAGGTCATGCATAGGAGTGTCGTGGGCATTACGTGAGAGAACATGTGGAGTGCCTGGCACATAATAATGTTATTCATTCACCTCTCCTGTAGTCCCTTTTTCACTTTCTCATCTTTCTGGTTTCTTATCAAATTATACAAAATTGAGGAAAAAATTTGCTTAGCGGAATTTTGGCTACTTTTGATAGGATGTGATTATTACATTCATTTTATTATAGTTAGCAGTATACCTGTCCAACTAACTGCACACACACACACATACACCTGCACTGGATAGCATTGGAAATGTTAGCAACCACCACCACCACTACCCCTTTTTTTGGGGTGGTACTGAGGACAGAATCCAGGGGTGTTCCACCACTGAGCTATATCCATCCCAAGACTTTTTACTTTATTTTGAGAAAGGCTTTCCTTGTGATCCTCCTACCAGAGCCTCCCAAATTGCTGAGATTACAGATGTGCCACAGCATCTGACAACAAACCATTATTAAGAATATGTTCTTTGAGGTTTCTGAAGACAGACATGATCAGAACCTTCATGTCTTTATAATTGTGGTCTCTATTGTTGCTTCCCCCCCCCCTTATCCTGGGGATTGACTCTAGGGATGCTTTACCATTAAGTTACATCTCTAGACCTTTTTTAAAAAATAATTTTTTTTTTAGTTGTAGGCAGACACAATGCCTTTATTTTTCTTCATTTATTTTTATGTGGTGCTGAGGATGGAACCTAGTGCCTCACCGGTGCTGGGTAGCACTCTGCCACTGAGCCACACCCCAGCCCTCTAGACCGTTTTATATTTTTATTTTGAGCAGGTCTTGCTTAGTTGTTGAGGATCTCACTAACTTGCCCAAGCTGACCTTAAATTTGTAATCCTCCTGCTTCTGTCTCTCCAGTTATTGGGATTATAGGTGTGTGCCACCGCACCTGGCTTTCTTCAATTTTCTGCTTCATGATTCAGTCTTGGTAGGCTTTGGGTTTCTAGAAGTACATTCGTATCTTCTGGGTTACCCCAAATATCAGCATACAGCTTTTCATGGTATTCTCTTACAATGTTTTTTATTTCTATGGCATCAGTTATAATGCCACTCTTTCATTTCTGACATTATTTATTTTTCTTGGTTAATCTAGCTAAAGGTATGTCAGTTTTATTGATCTCTAAAAAAATCCAACTCTTATTTTTTGCACAGTTTTTCTATTCCCTGTTTCACTTATCTTTGCTCTAATCTTTTATTTCCTGCCTTCACCCAGCTTTGTATTTAGCTTGTTCTTCTAATTTCTTGAGGAATTATGGTATTATACACAGCTCTTGTGTTTGAATCAAGATCTAAAAATAAGTTCCCTTTACTGTGTGTGACATATTTCTTAAGTCTCTAGTGTGTAACATCGCTTATTATTATGTTGCCCTTCTTTATTCAAGTTATCCGGGTTGAATGTCTTGGAATTTCCTACATTTTGGATTTGTGGTGGTTTTTGGCATGTACGCTCCCTCATGTTTTCTGTGGATAGGTGGAGCTAGAGCTCTGGAGAGGTTAGAGCGAGAGGCTGGATGGATTCAACTCTTTTGGTGGGAAGACATCATTTCCTGGGTGATGCTAAGACTGACCTGGACCGTGGAGTCATCAGCTCCATCTCTCCACTAGAAAGTTCCTCATCTTTCATCAGATGATGATTCAGCAGTCGTTGGTGATTGTTGCCTAGTCATAATTTCACCAAGGATCACAAAATGGCAGCTTTTCAATTCCATCATTTCTTCTTTATTTACTAATTATGGTTCTTCCACCAAGAATTCCCCTGACCAGTTGGTTACTCTGAAAAAGTATATAGCAAAAGCAAGGTAGATAGATGCTAGATTCTTTCACTTTACTTATGAGTTATTAGAATCATGAGCTGATACCCCAAAACCTTCCAGCATGACCAATAAGCTTTTGTTTTGGGTAGGTGAGAATTTTATTATGAATTTGGATATTTTTAGAAAATGATTTTATTTTTTATCAAAGTAAGGGGTCTTTTCATGCTCAAAATGTCCCTTTTTTTCCTTTTTTAAAAAATTTATTCTAATTAGTTATAACATGACCATAGAATGCATTTTGATATATCATATATAAATGAATATAACTTCTCAATCTTCTGATTATATGTGATGTGGAATCAAACTGGTCATGTAATCATGTATGTACATAGGGTAATAATGTCTGATTCATTCTACTATCCTTCTGACCTTTCTGTCTAATCCACATTATCTCTATTTTTCCCTACATGCCCCCCTGCCTTGTTTTAAATTAGCATCTGCATATCAGAGAAAACATTCGTCCTTTGGTTTTTTGGAATTGGCTTATATCGTTTAGCATGATATTCTCCCATCTCCATCTATTTACCTGCAAATTCCATAATTTCATTCTTCTTTAAGGCTGAGTAATACTCTATTGTGTATATATACCACATTTTCTTTATCTGTTCATCTGTTGAAGGGCATCTAGGTTGGTTCCTTAGTTTGGCTATTGTGAATTGAGCTGCTATAAACATTGATGTGGTTATGTCACTGTACTATGCTGATTTGAAGTCCTTTAGATATAAACCGAGGAGTAACGGGGGTAATGGCCAGTGTCTCATTGGGGGGTTCTTCTTGCCAAGGAGGGTGTAAGCCACCCTAAAACTTGAAGTCGTAAATAATTAGTGAAGAACAAAACACAAATAGTCAGAAATATATTTACATAAGCGAAGCCCCTGATAGATCTAGTCCACATGGGTGCTGGAACTAGACAAAGAAAAGATGGCTCCTGTGGTTTATTTAAGGGGGTTCATCAAAGGTAGGGATAAGGTTTCAAGGGCAGAGTCTTGCTTCTGATATCTTGCAGTCAGTAGGTTGATTGACATTTGGCAGGTCACACCCATCTCAGGTGCTGGGTGGGATCTTTGGCAGAGCTTGAGGGGGAAGTTCACCTGCATCAGGCAGTCAATCCTTGTGGGGGTGCCATGGGAGGTTCCCAATGCCAGACTTATTCCCTCATTAGGCTATGATGTGCAACACAGTCCACGCACAGCTCTACAAAGGAATGGAATAACTGGGTCAAATGGTGGTCCCATTCCATGTTTTCTGAGGAATCTCAGTATTGTTTTCCAAAATGGTTGCACCAAAATATCCCATCTTAGCCAGTTGGAGTCCCTTCAAACTGGCATCTGTTGTTTTGATGTGACCATAATTTTTTATATATTTTTTGGCTTATTTTGTACATATTCTACTACAGTGTTAGATTAACTTTATGAAGAAGTCATCCTGGTTCCTGTAAGGAGAAATATTTAGAGATCACAGTTTAGGTGCTAGATCACTACTAGGTTAGATTGCTTAAATTAGCTTGCCTCCTGGCTAGTATCATTTCTAAGCTCTTGCATTGGGTGCCGCAGTCCGGCTGCAGCAAAATAACCGGGGGTTGACGAGCAACTTGTATAGATTGATACAGCAGGAGTGGGAGCCGTTTATTGTAGGACCGGAGGGGTATATATACATTACACAAAGCTTATCTTAATTAACATAAACTAGATACAGCAGTCAACCAATAAGGAATCTCCACACTTAATGGTTTGCTGGTGTTACTTCACAAACCACTCCCTCTGCAAAATGCCAGGCGCCATCTTGACTTGTTTACAGACTCTAACAATTGGGTATTGCTAGGAAATATACTTGTTTAGAAAGGGGGTGGGGAGCAAATGTTAAGTGCATCCTAGTATTTCCAATTCAAATGGGAGATTACAGGTTTTTAAAATAGACTTTAATTTTTACAGCAGTTCTATGTTCTCAGCAAAATGGACAGTTGTAGATATTTCCTATATAACTCCTGATTACAAGACTTTTTATGTAACTTAGTTTAATTTTTTTTTTCTTTTATACTGAAAAATTTGGTTCCTGATAACTAATGTAATATCCCTTTTTTTTTTTTTTTTTTTGTACTGGGGGTTGACCCAGGTGCTTTATCACTGAGACACATCACAGCCCTTTTTATCTTTTGAGACAGCATCTTACTAAGTTACTTAGGGCCTCACTAAGTTGCCGAGGCTGGCTTTGAACTTGTGATCCTTCTACCTCAGCCTTCCTAGCCACTGGGATTACAGGCCTATCCCACTGTGCCTGGCTGAGCACTTTTATGTTTACTGGTGATTTTTTTAATTCTTCTGAGAAGTATCTGTTTAAGCTCATTTGCCCATTTACTGATTGGATTACTTATTCTTTTGGTGTTAGATTTTTCTAGTTCTTTGTGTATTCTGGATATTAATGCTCTGTCAGATTAATTAGTTGGCAAAGATTTTCCTCCCACTGGGTTGTCTCTACACTCTATTGATTGTTTCCTTTGTTGTGTAGAGGCTTTTAAATTTGATGTAATCCCATTTATCAATTCTTGCTATTTCCTGAGCTATTAGAGTCTTATTTGGGATATATTTGTCTGTGCCAACAGCTTTAAACTTTCAGGTTTTCACTGAAGGGTTTTGATCTATTCTGAATTGAGTTTGGTACAGAATGAAAGATAAGGAACTAGTTTCTTTTTTGCACATGTAGGTATCCAGTTTTCCCAGCACCATTTGTTGAAAGGCTATTTTTTTCTCCAACATGTTGTTTTCTCCAACAAAGGTATTTTTTGGACACCTTTGTTGAGAATTAGTTGGATGAAGATGTGTGGTCTGTTTCTGGGTCTCTCTTCTTCTGTCCCATTGGTCTACCAAAATCATGCTATTTTTGTTACTATGGTTCTGTAGTGGTTTTGAAATCAAGTAG